GCCTGCTGAGGCAGCAGGGGTCAGACAGTTGCAGGGCAAGGCTGACTGAGAGACATTCTATAAATTCATGACTGTCCCTGGTCTGTCCTCAGTCATGAAGGTTAAAAATCTGATCTATGCACCTGCCTCCTTTAGTGCAGAAGGCAGCAGATGTCTCTTCAATGTGCCCACAGAGGGCCTGGGGCCTGAGGACGGAGGGCAGGGGCTGGATTTCTAAAGAGATGTGCGACATCAAGCAGACTGGACGGCCGTCGCTTTCTGAGCAGCAGGTGTCCGGTGGGGGAAAGAAGCAGGGTCAGGAAGGATCAGGCCAGGGGACAGCAGCCCGACTGTGCGTCCCATGTCAGTGACAGCTGTGGTGTGCGTCAGCACCGGCTTTGCTGACCAGCGGCACCCAGCTTCGGGGGGGCTCCTGTGTTCTGACGGCACTGCTGTCACCATCCGACTTTTCCAATCCCGTTTCTGCGTGCTGCCCCCTCTCAAATTCAGTTTTTAACTTAAAATCGAATTGAGTTGGCGCTTCAAATATAAAACTTCTGTACATAATTTATTATAAAAGACCTTATTATGAAAGACTGCTGCTTCTAGCCACCACCCTCCCCCATTTACTACTTCCCACAAGCAATTGCTTTAAACTTTTTAACTGATTCTTTTCATAGTTGCCTTGATATCTCTGAATAATGCCTGTCTTTTGCCACTTGTTGATTTCTCCATTGTGGGTGTTATTTATCGATTTCTCACTGTGGAAGATAATGATTAGCTTTCTTTGATCCTTCCACCCCCACAAAACACACACACACACCCTCCAGCACAGACGTATAATCTTTTCGGTTCGATCCCTGGTCCATGATTACATTATTACGAGTCTTAAAATGCTGTCCAGCCGAGCTGTGAGGTACATAATCATTATGTTTGCACAACTTTTTGATTTCTTTTGAGTTAATACTTATCTTTTTATTTTAATTTGGTTGATGTTCTATGTACTAAATAACGAATTCAATTCCAAGTGCTCTGTCAGTTACGGGAATTTCCTCAGTATGTTAAAAAAAAATGAGGCGCCTGTCAGGTGTGTCCCGGAGTCCTCTGGCCTCCGGTGGCGGAAGCCTGACCGTGCTGGAGCCTGTTCACCACCCCTGGTGCCACGCGCTGCCGCTTCTCCCTCCGCACTGAGACGCAGTCTGTGCCCTGCAAGTACTCAGTGCAGAGGGTTTGGTCCGTTCACAAGGATGTGCGGCCATCACCTCTCTAATTTCAAAACACCCTCCACCCCCAGAAGAAATCCTGGATATGCATTAGCAGTCACTCCCCATCCTTTTATCCTCCCCGTCCCTGGAAACCAGAACTTGGACCCTTCGTATAAATGGAATCATGCAATATGACGCCTTTTGTATCTGGCTTCTTTCACGTAACATGATGCTTTTAAGGTGCATCTGTGCTGTAGCATCTATTAGTACTTCATTCTTTGTCATGGTCAGATACTATTCCGTGGTATGGAGAGACCACATTTTCTTTACCCATCAGTCATCTGTGCTGGTCGTATGTGTTGTTTTCGCTTTCTGGTGGTTATGAATAATTTTCTCACTCATGTTAGTGTGGGATCCTCTGTTTCTTGGAATCTCCGTTTCCCTCTAACTAGATTTCTTCGCTTCAAATTTTTGAGAGGTTGCATGTCTGCAAGTGTCTTTAGCTACTTCTCACGTGGTTTGGTTTGGTGCACCATTGTGGCTTGGAAATAATTCCCTGGAGGATGTTGACAGCGTCCGTCACTCATTGTTTTCTAGCCTGCAGAACTGCGGTGTAGACATCCTATGACACTTCTCACTTTCCCTCCGCTGAGGATTCTGCTTCCGTGCTGGAGGGCTGTGCCCTCCTCTTTGTGCCCAGGCTCTAAGAGTCCACGTGAGGTTGAGGGCTAGTCCTCGTCTGGCTGCCCATGGAGCTCTTCCATCTCCTTGCTCGTGTCTCTTGATTCTGGAATTGTGTCTTTGTTTCCATCTGCTCTGTGTTCTCTCTCTCCCCCTGCACCCCTTTTTGAACTCTTCTCATGAGGTACCTCTCCATGTCCTTCCTTGTTTTCCACGTTCGTACCTTTGGCTCTATTTTCTGGAGATTTTCTTACCTTATGTCTAGTGTCCCACTTTGGCTATCACAGTTTTGCTCGCCAAAAGAGTGTTTTGCTTTCTTCGCTGTTATTTTTTTCTTGTTTTTAAATACTCTCCCTAGTATTGTTTCTCAGCTACACCCTCTTCTCCTCCCTCTCAGGGAATATGACCGATAGCTTGAAGTGCACTTCTCCCAGAATTGCATCTCTTTCCTACAAGGTATTCCTCTGTCTGTTTGTTCTGGTCCCTGTCTTTTCATCTCAGATGCTTGTCTCAAGTGGAAGGTGATTTCCGGCTGTCTACTCAGAGGCAGGAGTGGGGTACTGAAAAGCTCATTTAGTTCTTGGCGAGGTATCCGGCTCTGCGATTTCACCGGAGAGAACCTGTCTGCCCTCAAATTGGTCTCTTTAGGTCTTTTTTCTTCAGTTAGTTAGATTTACAGGAAAATGCTTTCTTTTCCCTTGCTTACAGGTATAGCTTGGCTGCCTGCTGCTCTGGGAATGGGAGGGAAGGGTAGGAAGAAGATGGTAGAACCTCAACATTTCAGCGTTTGTTTATTATTATTATTATTGTTGTTGTTGTTAATCCTCATCCGAGGATATTTTTCCATTGATTTTTAGATAGTGTGTAAGGGAGGGAGGAAGAGAGAGGGAGAGAGAGACATCACTATGAGAGAGACACATTGATTGGTTGCCTCCCACACGACTCCGGCCAGGCCTGGGGATCAAACCTGAAACCCAGGTTTGTGCCTTCAACTGGGAATTAAACCTGCAACCCTTTGGTCTGAGGGCCGATGCTCAAACCACTGAGCAAAACTAGCCAGGAGTTTTATTTTTGTCTCTTTTCAATAAGGTATCCCTAAGGACAGTCAACCCTATCTTCTGGTAATTGCTTCCCAGCCTCCGAGCTCATTCCCACCTTCAGTGTGCCTGAGCAGCCATCGGCGGCCTCTGCGCGTCATCCCATTTGGATCTGACCGTGTTTTGCTGTTGCCCACTTTCGTCAAGAGTGACGTTTTCTCAGCCTGTCAAGTTACTTATTTGTTATCTCCTTGCTTCTTAGCATCTAAAATTTTATTGTCTGGTTTCCTCTCTCATTCTCTTTTCCTTAAGAGTGAGGCCTTTAGAAAGGATTTTAAATTGGTATTTTAATGGGATTCAGAGAGGACGTGAATGTAAATGAATGCGTTCAAGTCTGTCTACTTCAACCGGAAGTCCGATACATTTCTTCTCAGTGCCTCTTTCAGGTTTCAGGTTGTTGTTTGGTCACTTCCCCCAGCAGCGGCTGGAACTGTAGTCACTGCTGGGGTGGACACGACTTAGGGTTTCCTTCCAGCAGGTTCTGTATTGTCACCAGGGGCTTTGCTGCTCTGTGGGCTCCAGCTGTGGTCTGGTGGAGGCTTCGGTCGGTAAAGGGGCCGGGGAGCCACAGGTTATTTCAGGCTCAGTCACCCCGTGTCTTTCTAATCCCAGTCACTGGGGGGCCAGCCTTAGACTCTCCTTTTGCCTCATTTCCATTTCATCACACTTCATCCCAGGGGTTCACCTCCCAGACCACCCCGGGGACCGGGCCTGCACGGGCTTGCTTGTTCTCAGGCTGGGCTGGTCGGCACTCCGTGCACACCGCAGGGTCCTAACCACTGCGTCTTCCCTAGCCACGCGAGCAGGAGTCCCGTCCTGCTCTTGTTCCGCTTTCCTTGGAGCTGTCCGGCTCGTTCCCCGTTCTTATTCATTCACTCTCTCCACGAAGTACGCATATATAGATACATACCTAAAAGTAGAGACAACTGTTGGTGTCTGCCATGCTAATTTTTTAAATGGAAGTTTTTCTTTTAATTTTTAAATTTCACATAGTGAAGCCCTCCGGGGTGGGACCCAGCTCTGTTCGTTTGGCTTTAGAGAGCATGCGCAGCAGGCTGTGGTCGAGACCATCGACTGAGTTCTGTCTTTTACTGACTCCATCTGTGCCTAGACCCACGGCTCCCTTGAACCATCGGCATCTTCCCCTGCTTTCCACGTCAACCCAGCACAAAGGCTGCCGTCCTGACTCAAGCCTCCATTGTATTGAGCCTGGACTAACGCCATATGGTTTTTCTGCTAACCCTCCGTCTAGCCTGCGTCGATTCATGTCACAGAACCAATATTTCTTGAGCATGTACTATTATATACCAGCCCCTATCTTATCTTCAGACAGACCCAAGCCCCACCTCTCTATTATTTAATCTTCCTGAAACATTGTTTTGCAAATGTCACTGCACATGCAAAACCTCTACTGTCTGTTCATTGAAGTCGAAGCTTCTCCACCTGAGCTCCATGGCCTTTATTCTTCTCTCCACTTCTCTCCTACAACCCTGCTAATTCCTGCGCTGGCCTGGGGCTGGTCTCTCTAAGAAGTCTTTGCATTGCCCTTACGCATTGGTCTTCGCGTTTCCCCAGAAGCTGCTTTGCTGGTTTATCAGTGCCAAGTCTCACTGGCTCTGTGTGCACACTGACCCCCACTACCATTTCCCCTTGGACTGGAGGTGGGCACAGCCTCATGGAAAACGTTTTGTTGGCGGAAAAGAAATTTGATCATTGTAAAACACGCAGGTATAGGCTCTTACGTATTGCCAACGCATTGCCTGTTTTCCCCGGAATGGGAAGTGGGGTAGTGACCAGACTGTGCCCCCGACGCCTGTGTCTCTATGACAGTGCTTCCGGTTTTGAAAATCCGTGTTATCACTACTTTGTTGCACTGTTGCAATGTTGAAGTAATTGTGATTCTTTTTCCCCCTTAAAAAGAGCTTTCTCTCTGGACAAGTGATTTAGAAAAGAAGAATCTTTTTGTTTTTTGTTTGCTCGGAGATTAATTTTTGCTGACTGTTAAAATATTTACGGAATGTCCTTCTTTCTCCTAAAGTTTTACCCAACCTTTGGAATGTCGATGGAGAAGTGACAGTCGCCGAACCGAAGCCGGGAGAAGTTGCCGAGGAACTGGCGAGCTCCTATGAAAGGAAGCTCATCGAGGTAAGACTGGACGGGTCTGCGCCTTCCCTGCTGATGTGGCTGCTTCGGGACGTAGGCCCGCCTGTTAAATAGCTGTTAGCACAACCACCAAAGCAGTGCACTTGATAAAGAAAGGTGAGAGCTGGTTCTTTGAAACATATTATTTCATTGAAATTTTGGATCCTTTTGGCCAGGAAATGAGAGAGAAAACAAATATGTAATGTTAAAAATAAGAAAACGTGTCTACCCTTGGATTTGGAGATTAGAAACAGGAGAGAACATCACACACAACTTCGGGCTGAGCCATGTGAAACTATGGATAGATGGACTGTTGTCCAGGATGACGTCTGTCATCAGATTAATGGAAGAGGAGGCAGAGTGCCTGAAGGGTGCCCAAAACAGGTGGAAGAAAGTCGTGAAAGTGGTTAAAGAACCGGTTCCCTGGAAGGAGGCAAGGCTGGATGGTTTTATGGTGATTTCTAAGAGAGCCTTCAAGCCAACACAAAAGCCCCTTGCTATTTATATTTCCTTAAAGCATTATCTGTAGCTACACCTGTTCTACATCTATATCTGCTCATGTAGCTATATCTGTTCATGTATCTGTATCTCTGTATTTTGTCTCAATGCATTTCACTTTGATATAAAAAAACCTGACAAAGATAGTATAAGAAATAATACCGTAGACTTATCTCATTTGTGTATAGATACATCAAAATTCTAGAAAGATACTACCCAATCAAGTTCAGTCACACATTAAAGGAATGATCCACATAAAAGTAGGATTTATGTAGGATTCCAAGGTCAGTTTAATGTTAGGACATTCATCAAGTCAGCTCATTGATAGATCGAAGGAGAAAAGCCAGATATTGATCTTGATAAGTACAAAAAAGTCATTTGATAACCCTGATCATTAATATCTGATGAAAATATTCTTTATAAATGAAGAATAAAGGTACTTCTTTGATACGATACAATTAAAAAAAAATCAGAAACCATTAACTATCGTCATACACAATGGGAAAGCTGAGAGGCAAGTTTCTGACTAGGCAACTAGTATATAAAATATACATAAGTGTGTGTATATGGTGTGGTGGTCACATGGTGTATTTATTGCAAGTCACGTATGTTGCATGTGCACGCACATCTAAGCATACAGCGTGCTTTCCACTTACTGTCAGATCTGCCCGCATTGTTGCTCGTTAGCTGCCAGAGTTAAGTACTGAACTCACGTCAGGGGGAGCAGCGGCTGGGTGTAGAGATTTCTCGTGACAGCCCTGATTTCCTTTCTTGTGCTCCTGTGATTCTCTAAGCCCGGGAGCAGCAGAGTGGATGACTGTTGTCAACGGCTGAGATGTTCCTCCAGTGGAATTGACTACCCCAGATTGATTTTTCTTTCTTTGTTTTGGTTGCAAAGTGAGGGCCTGTTGGTGATCTCTCATCTGTGAATATTAACAGCATTTCATTGCAGCAAGTCTTTCACTGAACCCTGTACGTTAGCATTAATCGAGCTCTCTACAATGTTTTTCCTGGTGCTTGTCTTGTTTTATTAATGGGTTGGCTTTGACCGAGACAGAGTTGTAAACAGGTGTTGGAGTGGACTAATGAAAGAATGTGGGGGAAAGGTTGATGTACTTCTCTTTCCATTTCAAAAGGGCAAAGGAAGAAGAAACATTTCAATTTAAATAACATGACTACAGTCGGCCCTCATTTATCGCCATTAATCAGTTCCAGACTCTACTGCCATAAATGAATTTCCGAGAAGTAGGATTCTTTATTTATAAATTGAATATTTTCGCAGTTAGAGCATAGAAAACCTGCTTACGACCTTCTAAATACGTTTTTTAACATTATTAGAGCCCTCTAGACATGAAATAACACCCTTTGGTCACCATTACAGTCGTATTACCAATACATTAGACAAAATAAGAGAAAATAAGACATGTTAGACATTACAGATATCATATTATTATTATTGCACATTTAGTTACACATACACAGTTCTTACACACAACCACTAAAACCTATGAAAATAGTGCAACTTGTTCGATGATGAAGCGATGAAGGTGAGAGATGTACTGCACAGCAAAGAAGAGCAAGGTTACTGCTCCTCTGCAGGCACGACCTCAGTAGGAGAGTCTTCAGGTGGTGCAGTATCTTCAGCAGGTGTGTCTTCATCTTCCGCTGAAGAAGCACTAGGAGTAGGCAGTGGGTGTCTGGGTGCACGGCTGAAGAACATCGTGATAGGCAGTTGCTGGCGCTGTCTTTTCATATGCGTGAGGAGGCTTTTGTAGGGTTCTGTCGCTCCATCAAGTGCATCCAGAACCACAACGCATGCATCATTTGTGGGTCCCATTCGCCAGTCATGTCCTGTACCACCTTAATAGTTCTCACGACTTGCAAGAGACGCTCAAGTGTGAGGCCAACTTCCCCCTCCTGACCCCCAGGAACCTCTGGCTGCTCTTCCTCCTCCTCATTCGCAGACTTAGTCGTCTCCACCAGATCCTCGTCAGTTAAGGGACCCGAAGGTGTCTCCAGCAGCTCATCCACGTCATCGCGGGTCATATCCTCGAAACCTTCTCCTCCCAGCATCTGGGCTAGCCTAACTGCCTTATCCACTGCGGAGTTGCTTACATCCTCTGGGGTGAATCCTCTGCAGTCGTGGACAATTTCAGGCCACAGCATCTTCCAGCTGGACTTCACGGTCCTCCGTCTTTATGTCCTTCAATGCAGCCTGGATGTTCTTCAGACAGGTCACGATGGTATACTGCCACCAGTACTCCTTCAGCAAGAAGTTCTCCTCATGGTCCTGCCTTCGACGAGGTGCTGCAGGGTGTTTCGTGTGTAGAGGGCCTTGAACGCATGAATAACCTGGATCAGCAAAGTGGTGTTGGGAGGAAGGAACTCGATCTGCACACCGTCGTAGGATAGGTCTTGCGCATGACCTCCAGCACTGTCCAGGAGGAGAAGGACATTAAACTCGAGTCCTTCTCCGTGAGATACAGCTGACTTGGGGGAGGAAGCACTCGTGGAACCAGTCCGATGGCAGCTGCTTCGTGATCCAGCCCTTGTCGTCGTGCATCCAATGCACTGGCAGCAGGTTCTTGTTCTTATTCTTCAGGTCCCTCGGGTTCTTGGCCTTGTAGATAAGGGCAGCTTGAGCAAAAATCCCTCAGCATTTCCACACATAACGATAGTCACACGATCCTTACACACCTTGAAGCCACGAACCTTGGCCTCCTCCTTGAAAATGAATGCCCAGCAAGGCATTCTCTTCCAGAACAGTCCTGTTTCATCCATACTGAACACCTGTTCTGGATGATATTCACCCTCCTTAAGGATCTTCTGGAACGTGTTGTTCATGTAGTTTTCTGCTGTAGGCTGGTCAGCAGAGGCAGCTTCTCCGTAGAGAACGACACTCTTCAGATGATACCTCTTCTGGAACTTCTCGAACCAACCCTTGCTCGCCCTGAAATCCATGGACGTTGCAGAAAAGGGTCCTGGCTGAGGTTCGTCCGCCGTAAAGCGCCGATAGAGCTGCCTGTCTTCTCCCGGACGACCAGCAAATCCAACGGAATGTTTTTCTTGCAGCTGTCGCTGATCCAAAGGGCTAGGGCAGACTCCGTTTTCACTATGAACTTATTACGACTTGTCACGACACGCTTTACTTCCTTGTTGAAAGAGACAGCAGCTGTTGCACGGATGTTCTTTTCATCTTTATGGATGGAGTGAACGGTAGACTCATTCAAGTCATAATGGCGGGCAACCTCCATGATTTTCTTGCCATCATTGATCATAGCCAAGAGTTTCACCTTCTCCTGGATGGTAAACATCTTCCTCTGGCGCTTAGTTTCATCGTCAGAAGGCTTAGAAAAAGCACGTTTAGGAGCCATCGTGGGGCTTAGATAAAAGTTCTCAGAAATCACAAACACTTACAAGAGCAAAGATGCTTCTGATGCGTAGCAATGTAGAAGCGTGTATGAGAGAAACAAACTTGCGTGAGGCTAGGATAGCCAATCAGTGAACAACACACTCTGATTGGCTTGGTTTCACCTGATTTTTTGGAAAGAAGTTATTGCCCACACACAAGGAGTGGTCGAGCGGTTGTACCTGGCATTGAAGGATTTGCGGGGGTGCTCAAATACAGTCCTTACGTACAGTAATCTTAATTGTAATACAGGGGTGTATAATTGACTCAGACAATCGAGTGCACTTTGTATCATTTTCACTGTCTCGATCAACTTTTTAATGAATATATTTGAAAAAACAGTGATAGAGTGAAGCTGCGAAAGTCAAAGCGTGAAGTGGCGAGGGCCAACTGTATTTGAAGTACACTAAGAGTTGAATTACTGTTTTGGGATTCACCCCAATAAAACGGGAGTTCCTGAACACTCTTTTCCTAGATGTCTCTCAGAGCATCAACCGCCTCGCGCACCTGCACACACACACACACACACACTACATGCTGCGTATTCAGGCACAGTGGCCTGGAATCCAGCATCCAGACTCTCAGAACCCAGAGCATCAGGGCCAAGGACTGGAGGTAGAAAGAGTGTTCCTGACATCCTATGGTGGTTAACTTTGGAAAACAAGAAGAGAAGGAGAATGCTGGCAGGTATACGTTAATCTGGCAGGAGAGAAGCATCAGTGTAAATACACTGATTGTGTAACAGCCACTGTCATATAGCAGCCAGTGGGTGCGCTTTTATTTCCAGGCACCATGCTCAGGCTTTTGCATAGATGGACTTACGTAATCCTCAGCAGTGTCCTGTGAGGAAGATACGGTTCCCAGGTGGGGTTTTGAGACATTAACTTGCCCAAGATTTTCCAGCTGCTAAGAAGCAGAGCTGGGTTCAAATCAGCCAGGCCGTCCAGCACCAGAGTCCAAGCTCATACTCCTCCGCTCTGGAAGGACAAGTGCATCGAGGAAACAACCGGTGAACTTGACTGAAGGGAAGACTAAGAATGTTTAAAAGAATGAATGGCAGGCCCTGGCCGGTTGGCTCAGTGGTTAGAGTGTTGGC